TAGCCCTTAACTAATAATAAGATATTGCCTGCTTTTTATGCTCTTCTCTTCAGTCCATACTGCCCCTGCCCTCCCTTCCCTTCCCTCCCTTTTGGAGAGACCTGTTCTTTTTTTTTTTCCTTTCCTCACAGCACTTAGGGAAGCAATTACTATGTGTCAGGTACTATGTTAATATTTGCTCTGCGTTATTTTATATAAATCTCAAAAAATCCTGTAGCACACATAAACTCAGGGAGATTAAGTAAATTACTCAAGGTCATACAGCTAATGAGTGGCAAAGTAAATATTTTAAGAGAAATCTTAATTCTAAAGTTTGTACTTTTAACTATGACCAAATACTTCAACTTTCTTCTTCCACAGTCTACTTTAAGGTAATTTTCCATTCTGAAAACTTACAGCTTTTTGTATAGACCATTATTATAAAATATGTTAGTAATAATTAATTACTTAACTTGAGTTCTCCCTCTATTCATTGAAAAACCCAAAGTTCAGTTACAATTAACAATATGTGCTCAGTAAATGCTAATAGAATGAGTAAATTAGAGTTGATGCATTCATTATTTTCAACTTAAGCTTTTGAAAACTCCTCCCCAGTATTACTCTCTAATTTCTAGTAATTAAGGAATGTAAAAATGTATATAGAGAAAAAACAATTCTCATAGTCAAATCACGTGTACTTATATATGGCTAGTCAAAAAATTCACTCATTCAGGCCATTTCTAAGTAAAAGGAAGGTTATTCCTCAAAATGATTAAATCTGTATGGCCATAGTCATACTCTGTGGTCCAGAGACATGTCCTGAAAAGCAGCAGCCACTCAAGTTCCTGCAACTGGTCAAGCCCAACCTTCCTTATTTTTCCTAGTGTCATGAACTGAATCTTAACCAAGTTCACCCCAGATTCAGAGATATGTTTCATCTGAGTCTCAGAAGTTATGGGCATTTTCTCAATTGTTGGCAAGTGGTAGAGATTTAGATAACTACTGTGCTGATATTCTCGGTCATACAAACTAACGAGGCATAACCCCCCCAAAAAAAAATTCAAGTAGAACAGTAAATAAGGATGTCATTCTAGCATTTAATGTAGCCATACAATCAGAAATAAATTGTCACAACTTTCACTAAGGAAGATATTTCATTTATAGTCATTCAAGAAGTATATTTACAACCATATTTCTGTATATTTATTGGGAGTAAGACTTCTTTTCAGCTTGAACTCAAATCTCTACATTTTCTTTCCAATTTAAAAAAAAAGTCTTAAGAAAAAAAAAGAGCAAGAGAACATTTCAGACCCATTACTACATAGGTATGGAGTGCCAAAAACCAGAACATCCAGAAGGAAACTGAACAAATAGTAATAGAAGCCATTCTCAAGGATATATGTAACTGGTGACAGGCATTTACAAAGCAATTTGGAGAGAGAAGCCTTCTTAGGAAAATCAATGATGAATGTTCTGCACTTAAAATGAACTTGGTGCAAATGTACACATAATAGATAAAGACTTTTTAGTAAAAAGTGTTAAAACCCAATTACAAGAATGCAATCATTCCAGAACAGAACAACAAAGAACAAGAATACAGTAGTAGAGAAAAGAATATAGGAGAGAGTCAACTGAAATTGAAAAATGCAAAAAGATATAAAGACTATCCATTTATTATGCATATAAGAATTATATTAATCTATTCATAACCTGATTCAGTCCTTGGGGGATTTGAGGCTGTCAAGACATTCCCTTTAACATGTGTAGCTATGGTTTTCACTATTTGCTTAGAGATAAGAAAATGAAAATTAAACCAGAATGACTTTACATGTTATCCGAATTTTTTTATTATATAAACATGTATATGCTAGTTGTGGAGTTAACTGTCCATAATTTCTCACTCAATATTGTGAATTAAGTTATCAACTTATTTTTGGTCATTTTTCTGTGCATTCAAGCTTATGGATAGTCAGATATTTGGACTAAATAACAATAATAAATTGCTGAAATCCCAGTGTTCTGAATGCTTCTGACTGAAACTACTTCATTACATTGGCTTTAGGGATGTAAGGTGGGGGCTCAATAAATGTTGCCGATTGAGTGTATAGTTTAATGGTTTTTTTTTTCTTTTTTGTTACAAATAAATCAAAAACCAAACCTCTAGCAAATAATATTTTTAAAAGTCTACATAATTTGAAACAAAAAGATATTGATATTTACCAACAGTTTGTTGTTGTTGTTCACAAAAATCAAAGAGATTTGAGTAAGTAAAACCTGAGAAGAGCAGTTTCAGGGGTCTCAGCAACAGAGGTCCATAGAATTTTTTTCTCAAGTACTATCAGATTGATAACTACCAATATGAGATCTCTGTAAGGTAAATTTCAGATTCTCAGGAACAGGAATCCATCTGTTCCCACTGGGATTTTGTATCTGCTGTGGATCAGTCCCGTATGTCAAGAGCCAGGCTCACAGAGTTCAAACATGTCCACCTCTGTGGATCAGGGATTACACACAAAGAAGCAAATCATCACATGTGGCACAGCTCCTTCAGAAAGCTTCTGCCCCACTACGAGTTGCAATTACTTCTAAGTAAATTGCAAAGGAAATTTATGAACCCAGCAGCTCCATGACTGGAGTGAAAAGAAACATCTACTTCCTGATGCTCTTATGGGACCACAAAACTAAGAATCAGATTTCAATATTGGCATTTTTTACTTGTGTCTTTAGGAAGGGTCTTAAATATCATCAGCTATTTGGTGCTTAAATTTCTACAATAGGAGAATTTAGTCTGGGATCTCCAGTGTATATTCTAACTCCAATGCAATAATGAAGGATAACTATTTCTAATAATTTGAAAGACAGAATTCTGCTTCTAATAACACTGCACAAAATAGCTAAATTATCAAGGTTTTTCTCTTTGGGGCTGAAATTATCAGTGTAGTAGAAGAACAGCTATTAATCAGAAATTCTTATTGATAAGTTGGTAAAAATAGGAACACTACCTTATTCATGGTTGTATCACAGCAATGGCATAGTACCAGACATAGCTGAATGGGATTACTAATTTTTGTCTATTTTAGAAACAAAATTTCTCAAAATATAGATTATTTGAGAGGAAAAGTATAAAAAACACAACTGTGAAGATGAGCAATGGAAACTACTAACCTAAATGGGTAAAATAGCATTACTAAGAGTCATAAAATAATTTACTAGAATGTACTATCTTAGTCCCTTGTCGGTTGCTAAAAATACAATACCATAGACTGGGTAAGTTATAAAGAAAAGAGGGTTATTTCAGCTTATGGTTCTGGTCCACAGTGAAGGGATCACATCTTGTGATGGCGTTCTTTCTGGCAGAGTCCTGAGGCAGCAAAGGGCATCATATGATAAGAGATAGGGAGGGCATGTGCTCAGGTCTCTTTCCCTCTTCTTACAAAGCCACCAGTACATAACGGAGTTCCACATGATGACCTGATATAATTCTAAACAGCTCCCAAAGGTCCCAGCTCCAGACACCATAGTCAGATTAAGTTTTCACCTTATCAATACCTTACACTGGGAATTAAATTCTAAATGAGGTTTAGGAAGAGACCAATCACATTCAAACCATAGCACTGATTAAAGAGGAAATCAGCAGACTGAAGATTCAAAAGTGAGCCTTCATTTACACAGCTCCTTCCCTGAATCAGGGATTTACAGGTATATAGGAACCTGAGGAGTATGTGGTCTCCTTGGAAAAATGGACATATGATTCCAAAATTTTGAGAAAATATCAAGGATACAATAAAAGGAGTATTTGATAAGGAAATGGAATTATTAAAACTCATCCTCCTTTCCCTGGCATCACAGAGTCCCTAAGCATGCTCTCACCTCTGGCCATCTGCTTACAAAAGTGTCGACAATTTTTTTTTTTCCCTAAGATTCTGGCAAGTCTGGGCTATGTCTGCACTGCAGGAATCCCTCCAAAATTTAGCATCATCATCTCCTTCACTAAAGGTGATCCCATCTTCTCCTAAAAGCAAAGAAGGAAGCTTTTTTCCTTACATGAACTGAATGCAAAGCAGCCTCCCCTAGATCAGTGCCTTCTAACAGTCACAAGTCCTGTGCTCGCAGCTCAGCTGCCACTTTCAGCAGCTTGTACCTCAACAATGCATGCAGATATTTAAAAGCTCCACATATCACTTTTACATTGCCTGCAAGGGGGTCCAATGAGGGGAATGCCCCAAAAGTACCTTCATACTTTCTTTTCTCCACCTCACACACATTATTTCATGACAGGCAAATTGTCAGTTATAGCACATATAATTCCCAGAGGAACCATTGTCATTTCTTTCAGGCAATGTGTGTATAAGAGAGTATCATACAAATCAGCCACTTTCTTTATTTACTTAAGAGCATAGTGTAGTAGAACAAGCACATGAAAAGAGACAGAGGGTATCTGGGATTTATTGCCAGGTCCACAATTGATGTACTATTCTTACTCCCTTTGTATTTAACTCCCCCATTTGCGACACAAGGATAATGACATAGTACCTGTTTGTTTCTAAGGCACTCGAAAATTCTCTGATAGAAGATTCCACACAAAAAACAGAGACTATTTTTACATCAGGAAGACTTGAAAATTGCAAGTCCGTTTACTCATCACTATTAAGCAGTCAACAAAACAATGATAGAAGAGAAAGTATCCCTTTTTAAGGCATCTAAAATCAAATATTGCTGAATGTACAGCTCTTCAGAAAGATATATGTACAAATATATTAATTTTAATGACCAAACAAATCTAACTCATCAATAACCCATTTAGAGAAATCCTTTGCAAGTTATCCTGTCTCCCAAATATTTCATAGAATCCCTAATCACAATTATTTATTATAATACACAGCTTTTAGAACTACACGTTTTCCTTTCAAAAGGTCTCCTCTACTTTTCAGAGAGCATTCCAACTCATTCTATTAAGTTTATCACAAAATATAAAAACATTTCTCCTTCTTTTTGGCAAATCTTGGAATAATCAAACTTACAGTACAGTGATGTACAGGCATCCAAGCAGGGGCTTCCACTGAACAATTCTGGGCTGGGCATTTGCCTTGGTTTTGCTGCAAATAAATAAAAATTATGTTATGCTCCATATATTATGTGCAGCAACATAGACTAGCTGACATATTTATTATCAATATGTCTATTACCATATTTGCAAGCATTACAGAAGCTTCTGAGAATGATCTTTTGGTGCAATGCTACAAAAAAAAAAAGCAGGTATGCAATTTCTACTCTTATTGATACACAAGAAATTATCCATTGCTTTTTTTTCTTCCTATTATCTCTCTCTCTCTCTCTCTCTCTCTCTCTCTCTCTCTCTCTCTCTCTCTCTCTCTCTCTCTCCCCCCTCACTCCCTCCCTCCCTCTCATCAGTACTCTAAAGACTCAGATTTTGGTATTAGGCTTCCTTAGCATCTGGCCTTCCAGGCCCCATCAGGAACCATCGGAGAGATTTTTCTAACACAGAAACTGAATCTCTCTGCTCTTCCAGGCTCCCAGACAATTTTTATAAGATCACTTAAGTGAAGGTATAGAAAGGCTGTATCTCCTCTTTCAGATTGTAACCAGAGATAGTGATTCTCTCTAGAGCATCTCATAGAACTCTAAAATGTTGAGTTAAAAGCAATAAGTCTTAGAGACCTTTTTTGTCACATCAGAACCTGAGGTCCAGAAAAATGAAACAATTTGCTTAGGAAACCAGAGGTTTGGCATTCTAAGCCATATTCTGCCCTCTTCTTTCATAAGTAATTTATTTCTAATTAACCTATTCTTATTCTGTAATTTCTGAAAGTTAATTTCTTATTGGCTTATTAGAAAGAATGAAGTGTTTAACTAACAATACTGTTTTATCCTTGCAATAATGATTAGTTTTGAAGGGTTGGTTTCTAATAAAATATATTTTCTTTCATTACATAGTGATAATATAGGCACACTGAAAATGTAAATAATCATCATACAAACCACAGTTGTGATTTACTGAGCTATGGATCCATTAAATTATTATTAGTACCCAAAACAAATATTGATAGAAGTATTATATTATGCCTGTTTTACAGAGGAGAAAACTGACACTTAGAAATGTTAGGCAAGGGCTGGGGATGTGGCTCAAATGGTAATGCACTCGCCTGGCATGCGTGGGGTGCTGGGTTAGAAGAATATAAACTTTGGATAATATCAGCACCACATAAAGTAAAATAAAGATGTTGTGTCGGCCGAAAACTGAAAAATAAATATGAAAAAATTCTCTGTCTCTCTTTCTTCTCTCTCTCTCTCTCTCTCTCTCTCTCTTTGTGTCTCTCTCTCTCTCTCTCTCTCTCTCTCTCTCTCTAAAAAAAATAAAGAAAGAAAGAAAAGAAAAGATATGTTAGGCAAGTTGCCTAAAAATCATCCTGCTAGAAAACAGCATACCTGGGAGGGCAGCAAGAATCAGGCTGACTATACTGCCCATGCTCCCATGCATGTTTTACAAGAAGCTATTTCTGTGGTTTTTAATTTTCTATCTGTTTAATGGGGCTTACAGCATGCCATCATCTAACCCAATTTCATCTATCAATGATCCTAACACTTCCGATTTACCTCAATGAAATGCTGAATTCAGTGCTCCTATCATGCTAAGACTTGTACGTGATTTATAAGCTTTTTAGAACAACCTTTATTTAGGTGATCTATTTTTAAGGCATCACTAAGCCCTGAAGTGCTGTATGAATGATTGTGGATAAAGTCACTATAAAAATAAACTTAAACCATCAATCTCTATACAGTTTTCTTGGTTAAAATATGACGTGCAGCACCAGCAGGATACATGAGTCCATTGGACTCTTGTCAGATGACCACAATTTTAAGTCAAGGTTGGCTGTGTGCTTACTGTCACAAGTTATTTTTGGTAGGCACATCTGTAAAATGAAGTTAGTATTGCCTAATTCCTGGAATTATTATCACTGATAGGTATAGATTTACTTCAGAGTATTATCACAATTTTCAAGAATGGATACTTATAACAACACATACAGTGACCAAACAATTTTATCCCTATTTTGATAGTCAAGTTATTTAAATAAATATAACTTATTGACATGTGGGATCAAGTCTTTTGAAATTTGAAAGCATTTTTAAATGTTATTTGTTATTATTTCTAACTTTGAGAATTAAAACTAGACTTTATGGTGAGGAATATCTCCTTTGGACTAATTCATAATTATTGTTGTTATTAATAGTAATAGTAATCTTATTTTACATCTAGAGTTTACATCTTTATGAAACATAATAAAGAGGAATATTCAATAAGTAAGGGAGCTGAGTAAAGGAATATAAGTACCCATAATATATGATGAATGCTTAAATAAAATGAGTTTGTATTTCTTTAGGTGTACAACGTGGTAACAGAAGATGGACATTTGTGTGAAACTCTCTCTTATTCCATTATTACCTAATTTTTTACACTAAGGCCTTCACAATAGTATTCTAAATAAGCAAATTAGCAGTATGATTATACATACCAAGACAGACTAAAAGTTCTACTGAAGACAGATGTCCTATGAACATAAATTGATTTTTCAATCAATAATGTGTAACCAGAAAAATAAGATTGAAAAGAAGATAGAGGCTTGGATTTCAGCATAGTATTTCCATTAATCTGTCTGTGGAACTTTGGGAAAGTCTTTCTATCACTTCAAACTCACTTTACTCATCTGTAAAACAATAGGGTTAGGTTAGATACAATTCAGTATGGAGACAGGAAATGCCAAATTTACTCATGGATATTGTCCAAAGTTTATAATCTTCTCAATAATTTAATATGTTCCCTCTGCCAAAGGGGTTCACCATGAAGTTGGATCCACTGAAGAATGATTGGTTAGAGGCTTAAAAATACCATTAAGAAATGAATATTCCCCTTTGAGTTTAAGCAATAGCAACCACTAGACCAGATGGTCTGAAATACTCTTCCACTTCAGTGTGGCTATTGGAAACCCCAACAATCATTACTGTACTTCTTAAGAGGAAGCTTAACATGTATCAAGGAAACCCCTAGAGTAGGTGGAGAAGTAAAGGGTTCTTAAATTCTCTTTTTTCCTAGAAGTGTAGAAGTGTTGAATATCTTTTTCAGTATCCTTTTTTTTTATATATATATTTCGTGTGTACACTGTGACATGACAGAGTTTGGAGATACCTCCTAATTGGCAGATTACCAATTCCTCAAAGGCCTGTTAGAACCAATATAAACACTAGGGAAACTGGCACTACACCAAAAGGTTCTTTTTTGTTTCATTGTTTCTTTTTAGTTACATCTAACAGTAGAATTCATTTTTTTACATAATTATACAATCGTGGAATATATCTTGTTCTAATTTAGACCTCAGTACCTTTCCTCTCCTTCCCTTTCCTCATCCCCTGCTCCCTTTCCTCTATTGATCTTTCTGCAATTTATACATAATTATTTCTTTTAAATTAATTTCTTATGGATGTACACAATGATGAGATTCACAGTGGTAAAATTCATATATGTACACAGGAAAACTATATCAGATTCATTCCACTCTTTCCTTTTCCATCCCCTTTCCCTTCCCTTCATTACCCTTTGTCTACTCTACTGAATGTCTAATCTCCCCCTCCCCATGTTATGGGTTAATTTCCTCATATCAGAGAAAACATTTGAAATTTGTTTTTTTGTGATTGGCTTATTTCACTTAGCATGATAGTCTCTAGCTCCTTCTATTCACTGGCAAATGTCATAAAATCATTCTTTGTTACTGCTGAGTAATACTCCATTGTGTGTATATACAACATTTTCTTTATCCATTTACCTGTTGAAGGGCACCTAGGTTGGCTCCATACTCAGCTATTGTACTGTTATAAACATTGATGTGGCTGAGTCACTGTTGTGTACCAGATTTTAAGTCCTTTGGATATATACTGAGGAGTAAGATAAGATCAAATGGTGGTTCCATTCCTAGTTTTTTGAGGAATCTCCATACTGCTTTCAGAGCAGCTGCACCAATTTGTAGTCCTACAACAATTTATGAGTGTACCCTTTTCCCTACAATTTCATCAACATTTACTATTACTTGTATTCTTGATAATTGCCATTCTTATTGGAATTAGATGAAATCGCAGTATAGTTTTAATTTGCATTTCTCTAATTGCTAGAGATGTTGAACATTTTTAAATATATTTGTTAACTGTTCATACTTCTTATGCTGAGAAGTATCTGTTAGTTCCTTGGCCCGTTTGTTGATTGGGTTATTCATTTTATTTTTTAATTATTCCTATATTCTAGAAAATAATGCACTATCTAAGGTGCAGGTGGCAAAGATTTTCTCTCATTCTTAGGATTTCTCTTTATGCTCTTGTTTCTTTCCTTTCTGTGAAGAAGCTTTTTAATTTAATGCCATTCCATTTATTTGTTTTTTATTTTACTTCTTCTACTTTAGGAGTTTTCTTAATGAAGTTAGTTCCTGAGCCAATATATTGGAGTGTCGGGCCGACATTTTCTTCTAGTAGGTGCAGGGTTTCTGGCCTAATTCCTAAGTCTTTGATCCACTTTTGAGTTGATTTCTGTATAAGGTGAGAGACAGGGGTTTAATTTCAGTCTTCTATATAGATTTCCAGTTTTCACAGCACCATTTGTTGAAAGGGCTATCTTTTCTCCAATGTATGTTTTTGTCACTTTTGTCTAATATGAAATAACTGTATTTATGTGGGTTTATCTCTGTATCTTATGTTGGTCTTTGTGTCCATTTTGGTGCCAATACAATGCTTTTTCTGTTACTATAGCTCTGTGCTATAATTTAAGGCCTGGTATTATGATGTCTCCTACTTTGCTTTTCTCAGCAAGGATTTCTTTGGCTATTCCTGGCTTCTTATTTTTCCATATGAATTTCATGACTACTTTATTTCTATTAAGAAAGTCATTGGAATTTTGATGGGAATTACATTGAATGTGTATAGTGCTTTTGGTAGTGTGGCCATTTTGACAATATTAATTCTGTCTATTCAAGATCATGGGAGGTCTTTCTGCTTCTAAGATCTTCTTCAATTTCTTTCCTTAATGTTCTGTAGT